TGTTGCCGTCGTGGAGGTCACGGCTGAGCTGCCGATCGCGGTCGAGGAAGATGATGTCGAGGAAGACATCGTGCGGCGCCGAGTTGTAGAGAGAGAGTGACGAAAAAATCTAGGTTTTTAGCTGTGCTCGTGATACCATGTGAAATAATGAAACATGATGCTCTCTAAGGAGCCCTGTCAGATATATTTATACTTAAGAGAGTCAAATGTAAAGTACATAAATAACCCTATATTTATTCTATTACCCACCTCCCGACTAAAGTACCAACATGATTCGATCTCCCCTCTCACTCTTACCAAGATAATACATTTACTCTGAGATAAAGAACTAAAATTATACTTCGTACTATAACCGAGACATACTGGAGTGGTAAAAACAAAGTGTATCTATTAAGCCTCCAAGAACGCAGAACATTACAATATCATTTAGCCTATACCTTTGCAAGCAAAACATAGAATTGTTAACAAATGAAAAGGAAGCATGGGGTGAGGCACTTATCGAGTATAAAAAGAACTACATAGAGTTTGAAGATTCACTTATCAAGGTAAGGATGCTGTTACATGTATACAATAATTACTCCGTATTATTTTCCATTTACTTTCTTCATGCATTAAAACATCAAAATCTAATGATATCTTTTCTAAAATCTACACAGAAGCAATCCAAACTCTACATGGCAAACCAAAGGTAAATTTGCATCACGGCTGATGCGTATTGGTATGAGAAACGTCTGCCCGATGGTCAGCTTTTATAGCTGAGATGGGAATCTGCTTCAAGTCTCAGTCACTATGTCCACCTCCTTTTTAACCAATAGGAACTCTCACAATTTGATTTCAGTCCTGCGGATCTAACTCTAATATTGTCAACAGTGCCCACCTTTTTTTTTATGATCAATAGTAACCCAACAATTTGACCAACTCTTTTCTCAACAGTTCCAACCTCTCTTTTTGACCAATAAGAAAACACCAAACAATTTGGTAAGAATGCAAAAATGAGCAGCTCCTTTTTTGTCAACTGTTCCAACCTCTCTTTTTGACAAATAGGAACACAGCAAATTCAAATGCAATGCCATGCGCACTAACACCTACTCCGTATTTATCAACAGTGTCACCTCTTTTTTTAACCGGAACACAAATTCTGAAGAGCCTTGGCTGATCATTTTGCACAATAATTTTCTATATTTATTTTCACACAAAAAGTGTGAATGTTGACGTTTTTGAGCGGGAAATCCATCCCCAAAATTCTTTTGCTTTTAGATTATACTACGTAATAACTAGTATAATACCCGTGCGATACGGAGGAGGTTAAAGTAGAGATGACCTTCTCTTGGGTATTGAGGACATTCTGAATGGAGGTTAAGGTCTTCTGTATGCCTTCAACAGAAGAGGCTAAAGCAGAGGTCCTTTGTGTGGAGGATTGTTCAATCTCAGCAAGGGAGTCCTTCAGAGACGATGCACGGTCAAAGAATATTCTCTAAGTAATAGGGTGACTACATTTATACGAATTGCATTTTTTAGATGAATTGCTTGTGTAAACCGACAAAAAGGGGTGCAAATATATGAAAATGCTTATGTCATTGTTAGGCTATTTTTAATTGGATTGAATAATCTAGTTATAAGTTAAAAATATAATTGGATTGAAAATGCTTATGTCAATGTTTATAATCTGATTTGAATTGTTTTGGTTTGATGTAGTCTGGTAAACGTTTGGTCTATGTGTATTTTATAAATGTTGAACTCTTGTCTAAGGGGGTTTGATCTGTTTAACTCTAGTTTGATTTGTTCTGATTTGGAAATGAAATAAGTTCAAGTAAATACATTATTAAACTACACTTCAATATAAATTAAGCACATTTAATTAAAAAACACATTTAATCCAGTCATAGTGATAACTCATATTTTTAACTAATAAATAAATTAATAATTAAATTTACTTAATTTAATTATTAAGTGTAATCTTCAATTTTCGTAGTTAGCAATAAAGTTAGATTATAAGTTAAAAATATGAGTTATGAAATGGATTACTCTTCATTACTCATATCATTTTCATTTTTAGTGGGTAAAATGTTTATTCTGATTAGAGAAAATTAGGAAACATACATATATTAAAAAACAAATGATCCCTCATTCAACTTTTTTAGAACTTACTCATACCCACCTCCACTGACACTACACATGTATTTATAGATTGGAACACCCATGAGAACAAATGATCCCTCATTCAACTTCTAGAGTTTTTAGAATACTGTGCGATGGACGGTGGGAGAAATTAATCACAGTGTGATTAATTTATTCAAAAATAAAAGGAAATTATAATTTAATTGAATTATTTAGAATTACATTCTGTACAATAATAAAAACGTACGCAATTTGAGATAAATTGAAATGCATTGAATCGGTTTCCCCAATCAACAAAGGCGTACGCAAATTTTTATAACCCCAAAAATAGAAAGTAGCATGCCATATAAATATAAACATGTTATATTTCATGATAAAGGTTACGAAACACTTATTAATGCGACCCAGCCCAAGAACAGGAAAAGACCGAGTAAATACTCTGTACTAAATAGTGATACACCACTAACGCAATTTCAAATTGGGAGAACAAAGACGGAGTAAAATTTTTAAGACTTAAGCCTCTATTATTACAGAGGATTCTTGGAGCTGATGATCGACCAGAGAGGTAGAGAGTAGAGACGATCGGCGCTCAGCTTTCCGGTGCACGTGGCTGGTAGGTTTTATCCTCCTGCATCTGAAATTCTAATCTCCTGCAGACCTGTGAATCTAGGATTCTGCTCAACCCCTTCAGGCCTCAGCCCTTTCTCACATTCTCCAACTCCTTACTAGGAATTGAACTACACATCTAGTCATCTCTAATTTTAATGCTTTGTCTTTTATTTAGTATTAGAGTGGAACGTGAGAACGGATGTGAATAAATTTGCTGCTGGAGCTCTGCTTTTATAGTGCAAAATGTAGGTACAAATTGCTAATAATAGCTTGAACCATACCCCATTACTGTTTGACCGTCCTTTTCCACCAATATAGAGCAATCCAGGCCAACATCAAATCACAATTAGGAATGAATAGTAGCCATCACCACATTTAACCAATAGGAGCCCTCAATTATTTTTGGTTACTATGCACACCGCAAGCTTAGGTCAATAGTATTGGCTTTCCTACGTACAAAATTTCAAGTGGCATCCGAACCCCATTCCCTGGATTATTCTTTACACGAATTAAAAAATTAACAAATGAGATGTGGGCGGGAAGAGTTTGCCTCGAAAATCTTTTCCTTTTATATAAGGATAGATAGATTCCGGTAAAACATTAGATGTGAGAATATGTTGTGAATTTTGTTTATCCTTGACCTTGCTAATTTTCTAATGATGGCTCCCCATGTTGGTTTAAACTTACGTATCTTGAATATCTTCTTTTGCTGCTTTAGCCATTTGTATGGATCATGAATGGTCGCCTTGAAGTTTTGACATAGTCCAAGCCAAAGTGTTTATTTATGGTATTTCCTCTGCGTGCAGGTCAAAGTGATGAAGATGCTCGGACAACGTTGCTGTGTTTTACTTTGAGATCTGAATATGTACCAATTTGTAAAATGTCAATTTGACATGCAAACATGATGCCATCTCACATTAAAGAAATGAACTACTTAATTGGATCACATCTCACATTTAGAGCCCATTTGGTAATAGAAAGAAATGATTAATAGAAAGAAATGATTCTGCTGAAATTTATGAAGTTCTGGGTGAAGTGGATGTTTTCGTTAATTCTCAAGATTTATTGAAAAAATTATATTTAAAATTTATTTTATCAATAAAATAAAGAAAAAAATATTTGAAAAATAGCTAAAATGGTCATCTACCGTAACTTTAACTAATACAACCAGAAAAGTAACTTCAACTGAAAGCGCAATATCAAAAAGTTTCATGTTTGGTTGAAGAGTTGGCTGATAAGCTGAAAAACAGAGTCATGAATCAAGTTAGCTCTTGAACTAAGTTATCAATGATGCGATTGTCACTTTGAGAAGCTTTTCTCAAATGATATCCTTTACTCTCGGGGCAGTTCTCCCATAGAACTTGAAGATGCATGTTTAGATTACTTGGGATCCTAATGAATTATTCGACCAATTCAATCTATCTCTCTTACAGGTTTGGTGAATTCTCAAAAAACCAAGATTAGTACTAGAGATGGCAATTGTGACCGATCCAATGGATACCCGCACCGAACCGCCCCGGTCAAAACGGGGAAAACCGCATTGACCAGGTAACGGGTATGGGGCGGGGTGTGACACCCCGAAAATTTAAATAAAATAAATAAATTTATTAGTCAGATAAGATAAAGTGTTATGAAAGTCACATTTTAATAATTAAGTGAATCTGATAAAGTTTTAACATCGGTGATATTTTTTATCGGATAAAAATGTTTCAATAATAAAAGTGACATTTTTATAATTATTAGGTTGATCAGATAGGACCTTGACTTAAATAACAAAAGTGACATTTTTGTAACAAGTGATAATTATACATATGATAAAAATAATAATTGTACATATTCTGATCCACACATACAAATAATACTTTTTTTTAAAACAAATAATACTTAATAGCTAAAGACATATACAACCTAAAATTAAAAATGTACATGCATATACTACGGGTAAGGCATTAAGCTAGCACATGCATATGCTATGTATCAAACAAGAATTCACTCTCCAAGGGACCAAAAGGCCGTGCAATTCTTAATGATAGTATATGATACATGCACCTACTACTCTAATAATATTAGGTACCTGACAAATACACATGGGTACCTACCTGGCAAATACACATGCATTAACCCTACAGAGTATAAACTAGCAAGGAAACTGCGATTGACCATAGCATCCATGCGTTTTATACAAAGCTAACCCGTTTTATACGCAATTCAAAGCTAACCGGATGAACCTTCTGAGTGGATATATATACACGTCTCCCTCAAAGAAAATAAACAAAGAGAAAAGAAGTCTGAGCCTCGCCGATCAACTCACCATCATATCGCGAGAGGAAAGAAAAGATACAAGTAGGTGTAGGAAAACAGAGAGATAGAGGGAGAGAGAGAAGGGCCACCTTCCTCGTCGCCGCAGAACGAACGTCGGCGGTGAAGATTACTACAACGCCGCAGAAGGTATCTCGCCGCTCCACTGTTGGAGAAGAAGACCCAGTTGTACGCCGGACCAAGCCGCCATCGCCGGAGTGACGCGCTGGCCGTTCCGTCAACACCGCCGCCAGAGAGAAGGAAGTGCCGCGCCACCAGGCACCGCGGATAGAGTAACATCGCTGGAAGAAGAAGGCCGTCTGAAGTCCGCCGTTGTCATCGCCGGAAGAAGAAGCTGCCACGGTTGACGTTACTATCTTTGTCCTGCTCGTTTCAGTCGACGACGAAGACCAAGTACGTAATATGCACTCTGGGTTTTATTTAATTGATATATATTGGCCAGTTATTGTCATAAACAAATACGTAGGTAGTATGCATACAGAGATAGTATAATATGCTGGCCGCTAGTGTCTTAGCTGGTTCGGCCCAAATTTATAACAAAGACATAAGTTATAATAATAATGATAATTATAACAATGATAACAAGAATAGAGATTAATTTATTATTAAAGGATTTAATAATAATAGAGGGAATTAATGAATAAAGCGTAGATGAGTTTAACCAGTTCGAATAAGGAATTGATATTAGAATTTTTAATATTCTTAGAAGGTGAAGATCGAGGTAGAAGCTTCGGTTAGAAATTATCGTGACTCGAGGTAAGTACTATGTCAACCAAGTTTCATGCTTTTCCCATATAAATTTATTTGTGACTAGTTATTTGAGATCATTTGAGTATATGATAGTTAATGAGATTTTACGTATCAATTGTGATTGTGAATTATATATATTCGAGATTTGAGTATTTTTATATTGGGTGATATTTTGAGCATTTGAATTTACATATGAATTGGTATTGGATTGAGATTTGAGATTCGAGCTATCTATGAAGTATCCTATATTTTGGACTATTTATGGTATATTTGAGTATGATGAGTTGGAGTTAATAATTTCATTGTGAATAATTTTGTGGAATTTGGATTTCATATCCATTTTGATTGATATGATACTTGAAATTGAGATTGGATTATGATTTTTGTGAGTACTCGGAGAAGTGTGGATTTGGTGAGTGGTAATGGCTATAAGTCTAACTCCACCAGGAATCTCCCAAAAGTGGAGCATCCCAGCTTAATTGTAGTAGTCGGTAGAAAAATCCCGACTACTCGGACTTTTTACTACCCGGAGAGCTTGGAATCTCTTTTAGGGGGTGTGCACACTTAAGGTAGGAGTTCGGCTTCCATTGGATTTGATTGAGTTTGGATGATTGGATTATATTTGGATTTAATTGGACTTGGATTCCATTGGTATTGAGGTGATTTGGATTATTTGGTTGGACTTGATTGAGGTGAATGGAATTACATTATATTGGATTATTTGAGTGAATTATATTTGTTTGAATTGGGTTGAATTTGATGTGGTTGAGATTATTAAATTATTCGTAGATTTCCAAAGTAATACTTTTGGATTTGGTTTGATATGATTACGTTGAATATTGATTATGAGTATTTGGAAGTATTTTGAGGTAGATATATTTGGAGTTTTACATATAATTTATGTTTTGGAATATTTACGAGAATTTTGGTGGTTTATGTACATTGACATTTTAGAATTATTATGATTTGGAAATTTGTACCTATATTTGGAATATTATTATTTTACATGTGATTTTGTGATGAGAATTTGTATAAAGTGTTTCAAAAGGTTTCCTCCCAAATGTTTTCACAAAATGATATATATGTATCAAACATGATTATTTTACAGGGTTGGGTAGGCCTTACTTAGCATTTCCAGCTAATTTTTGTTTCTTTGTGTTTTTCTTTCTGTACTTAATTTGTGCAGGAATTGAGGATCATATTGAAGTTGATTTCGAGAGCTTCCGCTAGAACACATAGACTAAAGTGATTGAGTAATTTATTTTAGTCTTAATTTTAAAGAATTGTAGTTGAACAATTAAATATGGAAAATTTTAATTTGTTGGTGGTGGATAGCCTGTGCACTCGGTTATGTGAGAACCGAGTGTGGCGGTAACGCCCCTATTTCCCTTTGAATTTTCCGCTGCATAATTCTGATAAATCATTATTTAAATGTATTTTTGGGTGGGAAATTTGGGGGGGTGTTACAAGTTGGTATCAGAGCCCTTGATTTTTAAATGGGGGTTTGCAAATAAAAGTTTTTCCTAAAGTGACTATGGTTTTCAAAAAAAAAAAAAAAATAGTTTCGAACATTTTTTTTGACTTTCTAAAACTTCATTGAGTAATACCAACAAGTTGGTATGAGAGACTTTGATTTTCTAAAATGGGGGTTTTAAACAATTTCTGAGATTTTCTTAAACTCCCTTAAGTGTATCAAAGCCTTAATATTTTCCAAGGGGATTTTTGTAAAATGCTTTTTTTGAAATACTAGGAAATTAATTTACTAGGGAATAAGTAAGAACTTCTAGGACCGCGGTGAGAATGTGAGATTTTGAATTTCTATTTTGGTGGAGTTTGTTGACTTATATGAGATATATCATTATTGACTCAGTTGAGAATGAGTTTGGACTTTTAGAGGAACTTACCAAATGTGAATAGTGAGTTATTAGGTAAGGTAGTGTAATTGGTGAATATCATTCTATAAACTTCGTGTCCTAAACATTATTCTTTCAAGTAGACAATGAAGTCAACAAGAAACAAAGTAGAAGACAATGTCGCCGCACCGACGAATGCGGAGTTGGCTCAAAATATGGTTCAACTCATCCAGACTATCGGGAGTGTGTTAGTTCAGAACAAACACCAACAACGTCTCAAAAACCGCAATGATGTAGCGAAACTTGTAGCGAAGCACAATCCACCGTGTTATTTAGGCCAAGAAGATCCTCTCATCCTTGAGGATTGGATTCGCACTTTCGACAAACTTTTCGATGCTATAAATTGCCCTGCAGATCAACGAATTAATACGGCTGCGTACTATCTACGTCAAGAGGCAGACAATTGGTGGGCCACGACTGCCCCAACGTTGCGTCAACAACCCGACTTTTCTTGGGAGACGTTCAAGGAGGCAATGCGAAAAAGATTCTACCCAGAGCACGTGAGAGCTGAGAAGTATGAAGAATTTTTACACCTGAAGCAAATAGGCATGACTGTTCAAGAGTACCACTCTAAATTCTTGAATCTCGCACGATTTGCACCCACGCTAGTTCCCGATGAAATCGAGAAAACAAATAAGTTTATACGCGGTCTGAACTTCGAGACACAAAAAGCTCTTTGCGTTTCAGAATGCCAAACGTTGAACGATGCCTACAACAAAGCTGGCAAGCACTATCGAGTGCAACAACTCCAGAAGAAAACACTCAAGAGAGCGAGGAAAGTGACTGAAGGAGAAAGCAAAACAGGAGGCAAACAATGCAAGCTAAATCAGCTAGGGCACACTCGGAACGGGAAGAAGATCAACAACCAAGGCCAAGACCAGAAGCGTAAGAAGAAGAACTCAACTGAAGAGATGCACTTCTACTGCTCGAAGTGTAGAAAGGATCACCCCGGGAAATACTGTGATGGAACGCTTGTACGATGTTTTCATTGTGACAAGCTAGGGCATAGGGTGTTTGAGTGTTATTCAAGGAAGAAGGAAATCCCTCCAACTCGTGGACTCAATCGTCATCCAAAACGCAATGGAAGAACCTCAGAATAGTAGGCGAAAATATATCAATTCCTAATTTTCATAATTAGTAAAAATGTTTGAGAATTATGTATCGTTTGATCTTTGACGAATAAATTATTTTCTTGAATAAGTTAAATGCTTCGGGGACGAAGCATTCTTTTAAGGAGGGTAGAATGTGACACTCCTAAAATTTAATAAAAAGGATTTAATATAAACTAACACATGGTAACTGTTAATTGTATCTGTGAATACTTTTCTTAACATATGCTTCGGGACGAAGCAACTTTTAAGGAGGGTAGAATGTGACACCCCGAAAATTTAAATAAAATAAATAAATTTATTAGTCAGATAAGATAAAGTGTTATGAAAGTCACATTTTAATAATTAAGTGAATCTGATAAAGTTTTAACATCGGTGATATTTTTTATCGGATAAAAATGTTTCAATAATAAAAGTGACATTTTTATAATTATTAGGTTGATCAGATAGGACCTTGACTTAAATAACAAAAGTGACATTTTTGTAACAAGTGATAATTATACATATGATAAAAATAATAATTGTACATATTCTGATCCACACATACAAATAATACTTTTTTTTAAAACAAATAATACTTAATAGCTAAAGACATATACAACCTAAAATTAAAAATGTACATGCATATACTACGGGTAAGGCATTAAGCTAGCACATGCATATGCTATGTATCAAACAAGAATTCACTCTCCAAGGGACCAAAAGGCCGTGCAATTCTTAATGATAGTATATGATACATGCACCTACTACTCTAATAATATTAGGTACCTGACAAATACACATGGGTACCTACCTGGCAAATACACATGCATTAACCCTACAGAGTATAAACTAGCAAGGAAACTGCGATTGACCATAGCATCCATGCGTTTTATACAAAGCTAACCCGTTTTATACGCAATTCAAAGCTAACCGGATGAACCTTCTGAGTGGATATATATACACGTCTCCCTCAAAGAAAATAAACAAAGAGAAAAGAAGTCTGAGCCTCGCCGATCAACTCACCATCATATCGCGAGAGGAAAGAAAAGATACAAGTAGGTGTAGGAAAACAGAGAGATAGAGGGAGAGAGAGAAGGGCCACCTTCCTCGTCGCCGCAGAACGAACGTCGGCGGTGAAGATTACTACAACGCCGCAGAAGGTATCTCGCCGCTCCACTGTTGGAGAAGAAGACCCAGTTGTACGCCGGACCAAGCCGCCATCGCCGGAGTGACGCGCTGGCCGTTCCGTCAACACCGCCGCCAGAGAGAAGGAAGTGCCGCGCCACCAGGCACCGCGGATAGAGTAACATCGCTGGAAGAAGAAGGCCGTCTGAAGTCCGCCGTTGTCATCGCCGGAAGAAGAAGCTGCCACGGTTGACGTTACTATCTTTGTCCTGCTCGTTTCAGTCGACGACGAAGACCAAGTACGTAATATGCACTCTGGGTTTTATTTAATTGATATATATTGGCCAGTTATTGTCATAAACAAATACGTAGGTAGTATGCATACAGAGATAGTATAATATGCTGGCCGCTAGTGTCTTAGCTGGTTCGGCCCAAATTTATAACAAAGACATAAGTTATAATAATAATGATAATTATAACAATGATAACAAGAATAGAGATTAATTTATTATTAAAGGATTTAATAATAATAGAGGGAATTAATGAATAAAGCGTAGATGAGTTTAACCAGTTCGAATAAGGAATTGATATTAGAATTTTTAATATTCTTAGAAGGTGAAGATCGAGGTAGAAGCTTCGGTTAGAAATTATCGTGACTCGAGGTAAGTACTATGTCAACCAAGTTTCATGCTTTTCCCATATAAATTTATTTGTGACTAGTTATTTGAGATCATTTGAGTATATGATAGTTAATGAGATTTTACGTATCAATTGTGATTGTGAATTATATATATTCGAGATTTGAGTATTTTTATATTGGGTGATATTTTGAGCATTTGAATTTACATATGAATTGGTATTGGATTGAGATTTGAGATTCGAGCTATCTATGAAGTATCCTATATTTTGGACTATTTATGGTATATTTGAGTATGATGAGTTGGAGTTAATAATTTCATTGTGAATAATTTTGTGGAATTTGGATTTCATATCCATTTTGATTGATATGATACTTGAAATTGAGATTGGATTATGATTTTTGTGAGTACTCGGAGAAGTGTGGATTTGGTGAGTGGTAATGGCTATAAGTCTAACTCCACCAGGAATCTCCCAAAAGTGGAGCATCCCAGCTTAATTGTAGTAGTCGGTAGAAAAATCCCGACTACTCGGACTTTTTACTACCCGGAGAGCTTGGAATCTCTTTTAGGGGGTGTGCACACTTAAGGTAGGAGTTCGGCTTCCATTGGATTTGATTGAGTTTGGATGATTGGATTATATTTGGATTTAATTGGACTTGGATTCCATTGGTATTGAGGTGATTTGGATTATTTGGTTGGACTTGATTGAGGTGAATGGAATTACATTATATTGGATTATTTGAGTGAATTATATTTGTTTGAATTGGGTTGAATTTGATGTGGTTGAGATTATTAAATTATTCGTAGATTTCCAAAGTAATACTTTTGGATTTGGTTTGATATGATTACGTTGAATATTGATTATGAGTATTTGGAAGTATTTTGAGGTAGATATATTTGGAGTTTTACATATAATTTATGTTTTGGAATATTTACGAGAATTTTGGTGGTTTATGTACATTGACATTTTAGAATTATTATGATTTGGAAATTTGTACCTATATTTGGAATATTATTATTTTACATGTGATTTTGTGATGAGAATTTGTATAAAGTGTTTCAAAAGGTTTCCTCCCAAATGTTTTCACAAAATGATATATATGTATCAAACATGATTATTTTACAGGGTTGGGTAGGCCTTACTTAGCATTTCCAGCTAATTTTTGTTTCTTTGTGTTTTTCTTTCTGTACTTAATTTGTGCAGGAATTGAGGATCATATTGAAGTTGATTTCGAGAGCTTCCGCTAGAACACATAGACTAAAGTGATTGAGTAATTTATTTTAGTCTTAATTTTAAAGAATTGTAGTTGAACAATTAAATATGGAAAATTTTAATTTGTTGGTGGTGGATAGCCTGTGCACTCGGTTATGTGAGAACCGAGTGTGGCGGTAACGCCCCTATTTCCCTTTGAATTTTCCGCTGCATAATTCTGATAAATCATTATTTAAATGTATTTTTGGGTGGGAAATTTGGGGGGGTGTTACACGGGGAATACCCGTTTTGTTTTTACGGGTAACGGGTGGTTACGGTTTTATACATGTCCGCCCCATTACCCGCCCCGTACCCGCCCCGTTTATTTTAGTTATATTTTTATTACATTTTTATCTATTATTTGTCACATGAGTAATAGAAGATGAGATTTTTCTATTTTCATTGAGTATATGGATAATAGATGTACTAACTATAATATTTCCTTGAGAGTTCATAATAGATCTTAATAGTCTTGTTTGATTATTATAGAGATAAGGGTCAGATAGGGTCTCGAACTTGAAAAAAAATGTCAAATAAGGCCATATTATATTTAGGATGCTCTGTCCGGCCGATGCCATTTGGGGTGGTTCCCGGTAGAATTTTTTGATGATTTTTTTTGAGAATCTTATTCATTAAGTCTAGTTTACTCATATCAAATTTGAACTAAAACTTTAATCAGGAAGGCATTCAAATGAATTCTTGAAGATAACTGTACCGTTAAAAGCGCAGTTATCCTCATGAATTCATTTGAATGCCTTCCCGATTGAATTGTTAGTTCAAATTTGATATGAGTAAACTAGACTTAATGAATAAGATTCTCAAAAAAATTCATCAAAAAATTCCACCGGGAACCACCCCAAATGGCGTCGGCCGGACAGAGCATCCTAAATATGGCCTTATTTGACATTTTTTTCAAGTTCGAGACCCTATCTGACCCTTATCCCATCATTATAAGATTTTTAGTGAATAATTATTTTTTCAGATTAAGTTTTTTAGGTTCAAATTAATTTATGTTGTCTTCTTTCTCGTCTTGTAGATATACGGAAAATATTATCTAGGTGATGCCATTTTTTTCGCCTTTTAAAATATTATTTTTTATATTAAAATATCAATGACTCATTTAATAAAGCGATTACCCACGGTTACCCGCGGTTATAACCGTTACCCGTTGGGGCGGATACGGTTTGGGTAAAAATTATCCGTTGGGTAATGGGGCGGTTATGGGGCGGGGAATTATCAAATGGGGCGGGTACGGTTATATGTAAAACCGTCCCCGAACTGCCCCATTGCCATCCCTAATTAGTACCACTAATTCGGAATCACCTTGAGTTGACAAAAAAATTCAAAAATTGCATTTCAAAAATAAACCCAGACCAATGTGAGATCTTTCCCGTCATTTTCTGTTCTTTGTGACATTATGAAAAAGTAATTACATACATAAGTGTAGTTCGTGATCTGTCTTCATCTAAGTGTGATCGACATAGAAAACAATTGTTTCCCCCCTTCAAGTCCTCAACTTTGTTCAAACTGGCCACACCCCTATGCATCAGGTTATAAAACCACGTACAATCTAGACTTTGTGAAATTTTCAAATTTGATCTTGAGAGTGAGTTAAGTGTAATGCCCCTCTAAGGAAAAAATGAGGTGAGTAGAAGAAAATATGTGAATCCATTACCCATATATCATGCATGCTACTCTAATTTATCATACGCGTGTAGTGGATAAGGATGTTTTCTTTTGACTGAAATTTGCTGGTCTGATCTGGTCTGAACTGGTCTGGCCTAACTAGACCTGTACAAAGTCGGGCCGGCCCGCCCAACCGGCCCGCACAAATGGGCGGGCTTGGGCATATATATTTGCCCACCGGCCCGGCCCGCAATAACATATGGGCGGGCTTGGGTTAGGGTGTAGGCCCGTTCGGGCCGATAAGCCCAGCCCGCTACATTTAGTGTGTGTATATATATACACTAATTTATTTATTTATTTATTTACATGTACACATGTATATTTATATTTACTAATATAATTTACCTTTATACATATTTATAGTTTATTATATGTAAATTTAAGTTTTTAGTTCTTAACAACTAGCCCAACTAATATAGTATCTATTTTTGTACTTAAAGATAATACTTTTTGCTTGAAATTTAAATTTTAGATATAGTTTCTCATTATTATTTTTATGTAAATATTATGTTTGTATGTGGTGAAAGGCCTATAAATATTTTAAGTGTATTAACAATTTTTTAAATTCTGTCATATTATTTTTAAAGTATTAAAAAAATTATATAATTTAGAAAAATTTAAAGTTTTTCCGGGCCGAGAGGCCCGGTGGACTACCCGGCCCGCTCTTACGGGTAGGTATTGACATGGAGTTAGGCCCGTTTGTGCGGGCCGGGCCGAGCCAGCCCACACATGATGGGCAAAAAATTTATAAAAAGTCCGGCCCGAGCCCGGCCCGAAAAAATAACTTTTGCTCATTAAAATTATGGCGTCCTTTGATAAATAAAAAAGAGTTCATTCCATTTTTATTTTTAAAATTGAAAATTGATTTCAATCACTTTTTGTTAATAATTAAATCAAATTCATCCACTCAGTACATTTTTTCCATTAGATCGTTACTTTTTTATTACTCTGTATTATACATCATTTTTCGCCAATATCTTCTATGTTGATTTTTTTTCAACCCGGTAATTCTCCAAGACCGGAGGGTCCTGGGGTGGGGGCCAGGGAACATCCCACCAATTTATTATGAAAATGTGAAATACAGATAGTAGGAGGACCAAACTAAAGTCTACTCGGAGATACAAATAAAAACTGTGTAATATAAGGAAAGCTAGTAGCATCAAACTTTAAAATGCCCACAAAATGATTAAAAGGGAAAACTGCCACATAAGTCCACGTACTTTGAACGAAAAGTCAATTGAGTCCACATACTTTTTATCAGATCAATCAAGTCCGCGAACTATTAAAAAATGATCAAATCTGCTATTTAGCAGGTAGCTAACCCGTTACCCGGTCAAATGCTTACGTGGAAGTCCCATCTGTTACATTTTTATTGTTTTCTAATTTTTCCATTTTTCTTTTCTTTTTCTTTTTCCTCTCTCCCTTTTTCTCTTTTCTTTCTCTTTTTTCTTTTCTTCCTGCCCGCTGAATACGCTCCCTCTTCCCAGTCTGCAGCTCTACCATTTCCATTTCTTTCTTTCTTTCTTTCCTTCTTTCAATTCTTGTCTCCACCAGAAATCCATTCACTCTCTTCCATTTTTACTCCCTCTGCCACCTTGGAACGAACTCCGTTTCCCAGACCTCTCAAGCCACCACCTCTGCCGCCAGGCCTCCATAGCCACCGCATCCGGTCACCACCACATCCGGCCTCCACCTCCACTTCCGCCGCCCCTCCTACACACCGCGCGCCTCCGGCCACCACCTCTGCGGCGTCCACCTTCACCTACTCTATTGAACCAACCTCCAGCCGCCCCGACCTCCATAGCCACGACCTCCGCCACCCATACCTCCGTACACACCGCCTCCGCCCTCCGGCTACCATCTTTGTGGCCTCCCCCCCCCCCCCCCCCCCCACCTCTTCCACTGAAGCGACCTCCAACGACTCTGGCTTCCATAGCCGTCTCATCAAGTGAATCGAACTCTGCTCCTCAGCCTCCATAGACTGATAGATCGAGAAGTAAGCAGATGGAGTGACGTTGCAGTCTGGCAGAGTTGCAGACACGGGGACGAAACAAGGAAAGAGAAAAGCAAAAGAAATAGAAAAATAAAAAATGAAAAGAAAAGAAAAAGATAAAATATAAAATAATAGAAAATTGAAAGAAAAAAGCCAAATGGACGTTACAACCAGAGAACTAGCTAAATAGCCAATTTTGATTATTTTCTAATACTTTGCGGACTTAGAAGCTGTTCCGTTCACCTGATCTGAATGTTTCTGATCTGAATTTTTTAAGTTCTGATCTGATCTGAATTTTTCTGATCTGATCTGATCTGATCTGAATTTTTCTGATCTGATCTGATCTGATCTGAATCTTTCTGATCTGATCTGAACGTTGCTGAACTGATCTGAATGTTGCTGATCTGATCTGATCTGATCTGAATGTTTCTGATCTGATCTGAATGTTTCTGATCTGATCTGAATTCTTCTGATCTGAATCTTTCTGATCTGATTTGAATATTTCTATAATTATAATTATTAGATTTATAATTGTAATTAAAAATATAACTTAAATAAAATTACAATTATAATCATAACTATAAAAAAATAATAATTAAAATTAAATTTAAAATTATAATAATTATACCAATTACACTAATTATAAATACAGATACAATTATAAATGTAATTATATTTTTAATTATGATTAATTTATAATTATTTTTTTTGTAATTATAATTATAATATTTATCTCTGTAATCATAATTATATCTATAATTACTAATTTAAATATATAATTACTCCGAAGTAATAATAATTACAAAAATAACAACAAGAACAACAATCATTTTAATAATAATGATGATTATAATTATAATTACATTGTAAATCATAATTATAATTATAATTATAAATATAATATAATATATTATATTATATTATATTATATTATATTATATTATATTATATTATATTATATTATATTATATTATATTATATTATATTATATTATATTATATTATATTATATTATATTATATTATATTATATTATATGATATTATATTATATTATATTATATTATATTATATTATATTATATTATATTATATTATATTATATTATATTATATTATATTATATTATATTATATTATATTATATTATATTATATTATATTATATTATATTATATTATATTATATTATATTATATTATATTATATTATATTATATTATTATAATATAATAATAATTTTATATTATTAACATTATTATTATATTATTATTAATAATATTATTATATTAATATATTAATATTATTAACAATAACTATAATATAATAATCATAATTAATATAATAATAAAAGTGATAAATCATGTTTGAATTTTTTGATCTGATCTGATCTGATCTGAATGTTTCTGATCTGGTCTGAATCTTTCTGATCTGATCTGAATGTTGCTGATCTGATCTGAATCTTTCTGATCTGATCTAAATGTTTCTGATCTGATCTGATCTGAATCTTTCTGATCTGATCTGAATCTTTCTGATCTGATCTGATCTGATCTGAATAAAATAAGATTAAGGAATAAGTAATAAGATTAAGACGAACGGAACAGCTTCTTAATTGATTCATTAAATAGTACATGAACTCAATTGACTTTTTTCCAAAAGTAGATGGACTTATATGACAGTTTTCTCTTTATCTCTGATTAAAATGATGAGTATTGGTTTGAATAGACATGCAACGGTATGCAAGAAAATCAACTGCCTTGTTGATGGTTGGGTTGACGTGAGTAATGGTCTAGTTATAGCTTCCAAGTTTTCTGCGTATGTTTCGGATCTGTGACCTATATGTCCAATGTTGTATAGAGATCCCCTGAAGTCCTTCGTAGACATTACTATCTTCCACCTCAAAAATGAAATTAAGAGTGTTAAATTTTCTTAGGAGGGGAATAATATAGTCTAAAGCATCATAAGTAGCATCGGTAGTATGACTGTGGTGAACCACGTGAGTGGCATGACCCAGTAACTACCAGTACTGTTACGAACAATGCCAGCCGAGCGGATCAAATGGGGGGTAATATTACGAGAGGCTAGGTTAACTTTGAAGTAGCTATCCGGGGGTTTAGTCCAGATTTTGAGAGCATGTTTCTTGGCAGTATGTTTGGTAGGGATGTAGTAAATGTTGAAAGGAACATTAGGATTATTCGTAGTGAAAGGTTTTGCCACCGACATGGCATAAATATCAGTTCTAATAGCTTTTATAGCCTCTGGAGTGTTGGCCTTATTGTTATCATACAGAACTTTGTTTCTAGCTTTCCAAAGGTGCCAAGTGATGATGTTAGGGAGGGTGTGGTTAAAATCATTTATAGTGCTTTTGAAATCCAAGTACCATTTAGTAATGTAATTACTGAAGGTGCCCGTTTTGTTTGGGTGAAAGTCAAAAACAAATTTCAAAATGATGCCAGATAGTCATAGCAAAATGACAGTGAAGGAAACAGTGATCAATGGTGTCTGGGCTATTACAAAAAGGGCATTTGAACGGACCGTGGATACCAAAAGTTGTGAGTTTATCTTCAAAAGGCAGCAGATGGTTATTGAGTCTCCATAAGAAAAAAGAAATTTTTTGGGGGGTACGGCTGTTCCACACATACATGGCACTCAAGTTCAAAGTCATATTAGGCCGCATAACATCATAGGCACTATTAAAACTGAAAATGCCATTTGAATTAGGTTTCCAAATATGGGCATCTTTAGTATCATTGAAACTGATATTAAGGTCTCTAATTTTGGTTATAATGTAGTTCGGGAGACAGTTTTGGATCGTAGGAATAAGGCTATTATTATGCGTTGCTTCAGAAACAGTTAGATATATGCTCTAAATCATCGGGGAGGTGGTTTTGGAACTGGTACAGGAGGCCTAAGTCGCACCAACTATCAAACCAAAAAGAACTACAACAATTATTCACCTAAATGCAGCAGTTAAAATAAAAAACAGACCTCACAGATTCAAGAGAGTTGTGCATAACAGACCTGGCAGTACCCTTAAGAGAATTTACCCATGTAGCCCAAAGACCCTTTCCATTTGCTTGCTTCCAAAGGAGTTTGAGAAAGAAGGTTTTTTGAATATGTGGTAGGCTTCTAAAACCTAAACCATTTTCCAGAATCGGAAAGCAACATTTCGACCAGCGTCTCCAAACATGCTTTATCTTCTACGTTGATTATAATTAGAATTTAGGGTCCATTTGATAGCTCTGTTTTTCGATTTATCAGACTTATCAACCAACTTTTTAATTAAACATGTATCTTTTGATTTCGCGCGCTGAATTATATGATAGTTTTTTGGTTGTATTCGATGAAGTTACTGTAGCTAACTATTTTAGCTATTTTCACATAATTTTTTCTTTATTCTGTGAATAAAATAAATATATTGTAAATATAGTTTTTTCATAAATCAATCAATACAGCTACATCAGTCAGAACTTCATAAATTCATCAGAATAAGCTGATTCAGCCGATTTCAGTGTGACCAAACGAGCTCTTAATATTCTGGTGTGCAAATAAATACATTTGGAGTTTAATTGTGTTGATATTTTATACAATACCTACTCTAAACATTGTGGAAATATGTAAGAAAATCAACTATGAGATCTAAATGTTACTGGGTAGTACTTAGATCCACTCAAGAAAATTTTGGGCCTAAAGAACCCCAACCTTTAGATCTTTAGAAAGTTTCTCTCTTTATAAAAGCAATATCAGTGTGATTTGAAAGGTTATAAAATATTATTACTCCCTCCGTCCCGCTAAGATTGTCCCATTTTACCTTTTCGGGAAGTCCCACTAAGATTGTCCCATACCAAATTTGGTAAAGATTGTGTGGCTCTAAATCATTCTTACTTTATTCTTACTTTATCAATTTAATATCAACCACACAAACCCACTTTTCTTAATAATCGTGCCACCTTCTTCCGTCCCAATCTTAGTGGGACGGAGGTAGTAACTTTTATAGGAATATTAATTTTTCAAATACATTCTAGAAAGTTTAGACCCTACTTCTTTCTGTTGCTACTATGGAAAGAACCTTTTCAATAATGAAACATGTGAAGACGGCACATAGTAACAAAATGGGAGATGATTTTCTCGAAGATTCATTGATGATCTACATTGAAGACTTTTTGTCAAGAACATATATGTAGATTCTCTTATTGATGAATTTTATACTTTGAAGTCGTGTAGGGAACAATTTAAATGATGTCTTAATGAATATTTAAAGTGTTGACGACTCGAGTATTGTTATGCACGTGTCTTTCAATTTTATTTTTCAGCGCACCCCATTGTAACTTTCAGGATCTGCAACTTTAACTTGTGGCCGCCACCGTCGAAGTTACACGTTGTGGCGGCCATCGTCGGAGTTGCAGTTTGTGGTCGCCATTGCCGTTTTCATCCCTCCCTCACGGGCTAAGAAAATGGTGAGGCACAACCTGATCTACACAATGATGTCTTGCAAGATTGATAAACATGGCGGCAGGTTGTAGCTAAAGATGATTGCCGGCTGCGGGCGAACTAAGTTGCAGAGGGCTGCGAGTCGGGGATGCAGGCGGTGGCAGATAGGTGTGGTTGGGGAATGCGACAGTGCTCTAAATGAACGTAATATAGGACACTAATGGATGATGCAAGCGGTGGACAACTTTCAATAGTGGTCTGCCACGAAATATGAGGAACGGATGAAGGGGACTATGCAGAAAACGATTGATTGGAAGGCTATTAGGAAAGTATATAGTAATAGTAAAATAAGAGTAATAACTAGTTGGAAAAATAAGTTGTAAGAATAAGAAAACAATTTAAAAAGCCATGTGGACAGTTCACACAGGCAGTTAATCAGAAGATTGGTTCTTTACTGGCCAAACAGCTCAATTGAGTATTTTTATTAGTAAGAAGTTCAATTGATTTATTATAAAGTATACAGATTTAATTGACTTTTTTATGTATTAGGATGACTTATTTGATAAGTTTCCTTAAATTTTAAAGAAGCAAATGATGGAGTACTTCATTAAAAAAAAATACAAAATTTTGGAAAACAATTCACCGGAAATCACCTCAAATGGTGGATTTTGCACGGTGGTTAGTGTCAGGAGCTCCTGACAGGAACATCAGTACGGTGTGTTAGGTGTGTGTGTGGCCCTGGCCTGGGTGTGTCCGTGCGTGGCATGCGTGTGTTGCATGCTTGTCGCGCCGGTCGGGCGAATCGGGTAACAACAAAGCTTATTGTGCAAATATTTATAAGGTGCATGTTTACACTATTTGCATTTCATATTAGTGTTCAAAGTGTTGCATATTATTCTCTAATGAAACAAACAATTGCATATTTAGTGGTATATTGTCTTCCTTTTCATAAAAAAAACATATTCCACATGGTTTCATATTAAAAAAAAGTGGTACATTTTGTAGCATTGATTGATTACAAAATGAATCCGGATTAAAAAGATTTACTCATAGTTCATCTTGTCTTTTTATTCACTTAATTTCATTCCAAATTGCATAAACTTTTGTGAGAACCATATATTTTATAAAATTATAAATGAGAATGTATAATAAATAGTCAAAATAATGTGGCTGTTGGTCAATAAAGATATCATGAAAGTAACTCTAAATTACAAAACTTCGAAGAACTAATATCATATTTCATTCATTCTTAAATAAGTGCAACATGTTGAATTTGACACTACTCACATGTTGTACTTTGACCACATCTTATTTATGCATGTATTAATAAATTGTTTAAAAATATATTTTTAAATTTGACTCGTGGCAAATTTCAAAGTGTGGTTTTTTTGTTTTTTTTACTAATTGAGAATTAAATATATTAATGATCAAAGTTGTGTACGTAAAATGTGCATTATTGCATTTATTAAAAATGGAGGTAATACAAATTACATGAGTATCTCTCAAAAACTATCTTGCTCTAAATTGAAATGGTGCATAATTCCATTTGACATTTAGGCTATGTTTGGCTAGCCATTTCAGCTCAAAATGGGCTGAAATATTCTAAATTGAGCTAATTATTTTCATACTTCGTAGTAATCATGTTTGGCATTTGGCAAAGAGGCTTAAAAGGGCTGGATCTAAAATAATGGAGCTGAACCATATATAACACTACCCATGCTAGCGTTTCCCTTCAGCCTTGTACATGATTTACTTTTTTTCCTAGATTATCCCCGCTCCTTTATTTTCTCCTCAGCCGATCATCTCTTTCTCTCGCAAATCACCTGCCTTTCTCAGTGTATGTATTCTTTAGCGAGAGAGGGAGAGGACGACGGATGATGGTGTGAGCACTGAAGATCACAGGATGAACAAATATAGGAGTGATGAAACTAGTTTAGTTTAGGAAGAAGAAATATAACACTGATATTGACTTTGTACGTAGTTAGTTAAAACATTTTTTTGAAGCATGATTCATTGTTTCGTTGTATTATTTTTTCTCATGTTTACTTTTATGTTTTAGAAAAAAACATAATGCTTAATATTTACTCCTAGATCTCAATTATAAAAAACTCTATCCTTACGGAGGCGAGAGCTTATCTCTCTAAAGCTTCGCAACTCTCTAGGGCGCGGTGGCCGCTAGGGTTTCGTTTTCCGATTTTGAATCTTTCGAAGATCGGTGGTACTGGTGCGGTAAGGATGATCGAAAGAGGTCGACTGCAGATGGAGATGACTGGAGTCGGTAAGCAGGGGATTGGAGGACTATTTCACGCAGATGATGAGAGCCGAGCAGTGCAAGATACAGACAAATTGGCGATTGTTGATGTTGACGAAGGGGCGGTCGAGTTGGAGGTGAACCGCATTGGTGCAACATCAGCCGTCGCAAGAGCCCGGCCTTCTCCAGAACCACCGCCAAGGGTTGATCGACGCGGTTTGGAGTTTGATTATTTATTTATTCTGCATTTTAATTTCCAGTTTAAGACGTTTGTGTGTTATTTTATTTTATGCTGTAAGACTCTAATGGGGGATGAGAGGTCTACGGTAACCGTCATTGGCTTTAAGTTGCCCAATTCAAGTCTAGCGAGTTATACTTCTTTTTTACAGATGGTTAACTCTCAGTCTCGGACACAGGCGGATGGTTACATGTGGTTATTTTACTATGATGTACCCCTGATGAATGCTATTTGTATGGATTAAGCCCTCTTCGATAAAAAAAATTACTCCTAAAAACTACTACGTATAAAAATATTTAATATTATAAATCATTATAATACATATTTTATTAAGAATATATGTTCTTTAATGTAATTTCACATTACCCGTATACCTTTTCAGCTATTCTTGCCAAACGAGTTTACTTTATTCAGTTAGCAAATCAAATTCGGCACTTCAAAGTTCAGCTCCAGACAATAATCTCTGATTCAGACAATAGCCTCTATTTCAGATATTAATCTCTGATTCTGACAAACATAGTCTTACTTTAACTCCAACGACTTCTAGCATCGTAGTAATTCCATTCTCTAGACTAGATTTTCACCCGTGCTTCGCACGGGATGCAGTTAGTAAGCAATAAAAAATTTGAGAACACAAGAAAATCTTGTGACAAATAGAGATCAATGTATATATTGTTTGTAACAAAAGTAAATAAATATAAAAAAATTACAAATTGTTATATACTTCCTTGTAAACCACATTTATAGTCTTCTTGGCCGGTTTTCCATCATCATCACATATAACAAATTTCAACCCAGACGGGGACGTCACTCTTGAGACCGCGACGTAAAGTTGTCCATGGGTGAATACCGGGCGACGTAAGAAAACACCAACCCTCTCCAAAGACTGACCCTGACTTTTATTAATTGTCATCGCGTAACTAAGCATCAAAGGGAACTGTCTACGTTGAAATGTGAACGGCAGTTTTAGGTCGGATGGAGTCAAGCTAAGCTTCGGAATAAGAAATCTTTTCCCTGCATTTGTTCCTGACATCATCTGAGCCTCGAGAATATGGGTTCCAAGTTTAGTGACGATTAGGCGAGTGCCATTACACAATCCGGAGGAATGATCAATATTCCTCATTAGCATCACAGGTGCACCCACTTTGAGCTTCAGCTCATGGCTTGGCACACCAGAGCATTTAATGGTATTGAGAAATTTGGGAGAGTGGATCTCTTGAAGGAGTGCACTGTCTGAGTCAGAAGATGATGCTGAATCTGAGCTTAAGTATGTCTTTACCTCACCTGGAGTCAATCCCAACATGTAATCGTTGATCATGTCACGCTCATCAATTGTTGGCGCAAGAATTGCCCTTGAATTCAAATAAGAAACATCATTACAGTGCATTTCAAAATTGGGATAGGTGATCTTAACAATAGCTTCAATTGGATCATCCGTCATAGGAGCAATAAATTCTTCAGGGATGTCAACCATTGATTCTCCATCATCACAGTCCCCTAAGTCTCCATCTCCAATCTTCAATATCCACTCAGCAAAGTTTTGAATCTCTAATGTGTAAGATGTTCCTCCCACGCGCCCCAGTCTCATATTCTTTGTCAACTTCAAGACCCTGCAGTATGACCACAAAAATGATGAATTCAAAGCCACTTGCACAATGTCTTGTCTTGTGCCCTTTGGAATGACAGGCAATATTTGCCTGAAGTCCCCGCCAAAGACGACTGTCTTCCCACCAAAGGGCATGGTAGAATCACAATCATGTGAGTAGCGAAGGACATCTCTCATGCTACGATCAAGTGCTTCAAAGCAAAACCTGCAGATCATTTGACAACTGATTGAATCATTTTGAATATGATGTAATTTGTGCATTTATTATTCATCAAACATGTACCTATGTGTCATCGGCGATTCATCCCAAATGATCAACCTTGTACGTTCGAGGAGCCTCGCCAATGGGCTTCCATGCTTTATGTGGCATGTAGAATCTTCTGTTGCATCCAGTGGAATGGCGAATCTGGAGTGTGCGGTCCTTCCTCCTGGTAGAAGCAGTGATGCAATACCGCTAGATGCTACATTGAGTACTATTTGCCCCTTGGACCTGAGCGCTGCAAACAAAGTCCGCCACAAGTATGTTTTTCCAGTACCACCATATCCATACACGAAAAATACACCGCCACTTTTTCTGTGTACAGATTTCAAGATTTCCTCATATATAGCATGTTGCTCATCATTCATATCAGCCATCAAACTTTCATGCTTCTCAATCAAAGCACATTTATCATATTTCATTTCCTCATTAATGAGAACATCTTCCATCGAAGGCATGTATGAGTCAGGAGGCAATGGCATTCCAACAAAGTCACGTAATGATCTTCCTCGTAGCTGGAGAATTTTCTCTATCTCCACTAAACAGTATTTCTCTATCTCCCCATCATCCTATTAGCCATATTAGGTATGTGATTTACATTAAAAGTTACATATTTAAATCATAAAAAGTCAAATTCCAAGTGAGATACTTTTAATTGACTATATCAAAACCCACATATACCTGGATCGTTCAGGGTCCTCATATTGTACAATATGTCTTTTGAGAAATA